AGAGAGAGAGAGAGAGAGAGTGCGGGGGAGGTGATAATCGCATCAAAATAACCCCCCCCCTCCTTTTTTCACCACTCCGCACCCTCACACACCATACTCATATTTTAAATAGACCAATTTAAAAGATTTGGTCCCAATATATTTTTCGATTTATTAAGGCCATTGACTTTTCTTCTAAAATGTAGATAATTGCTATTTTAATAATCTAATGTAAATTGTCGCTTTTAAAACTAGATTTTAACACAAAAACGTTTAAACCTAACCATTAAAAAACAAACAGCCATGCTATAATCAGCTGTTTTGAATACAATGTACAACCAGCTTGTGTTTCCCGCGCCCTTATGGCCTTTTGTAACAGCGAGTGCAGCAAAACTTTTACTAAAATATACCAACTCCAAACCTGTCCGCCTAATAATACTATATTGTGAGGCATCGTGTGAAATCAGGAGCTCGTCAAAATAATGAAATCCAAAAAATCTGTATTTTTTGGCCAGTTTGGAATTATTTATTTTTATTTATATTTATTTTTTTTTTACATTTTGGCTCAACACCTGTTATGTTCATTTTTATTTGTGTGTGAATATTATAGAAAAAACCCATTGATGAAGGTCACAAAAAATGGAAATTTTCAGTTTCCAAGGACTATCAGGCTAGGGAAGTTAACAAACTTCTGGCTTCCATTTTCTCCCTAATTTTACCTCTGAAACCAGGCAACCCTGACCTCCTTCAACCGCAAATATTTCGATTTCCATTCAATATAGATGGATATTTTTTTCTCCTAGAGGAAGGCAAATGAACAGGCTTTAAGATGATACCAATAACCCCATATGCACCAAAATTGACCAGCACCTGATTTCACCACGTCGTGAAACATATTATGTCATCAGGGATATAAACCAGCAATCATGCCCTGGTATACACATGGGGCAAGAAAATTTGGCTTTCGATCAACCCATTCTTATCCGTTTAAAATTGTTATCTGTCTTCGTGTTACACGGAATGCCCATTGCTGTTGGGATCGGGTCTGGTCGGGTCGAGTCGGGGACTTTCGCCCCACTCGTCGCCTGAAAACAAACGCGTTTGTTTTTGAGGTGACCAGTCGTGCGCGATCGGGTTGTGCCACGATAGCCGCTTTGCGCCCTCAGTCTGGCTAGCAAACCGACCCAACGAGACCCGATCCCCCAATGGGCACTCCGTATTACATTATAGGGTGCAACGAACCC